GAAACTCACTATTCTGCCAAGGATAACCTTGAACTTCTGACCCTTGTACTTCCCCCTCCCAAGTGTTAGCATTAGTCTTGTATCACCTCACCCAGGTTTGTGGTACTTCTGATGGAGCCTGGGGCTTCCTGCATACTAGACAAGCACTCTACCAACGGAACTACATCCCCAGCCCAGGAATAGCTTTTGAAATAGTAGCTTTCAAAAAGTCCTTGTCTTAATGTAAGGGAGGAGGCTTGAAGAAGAGACAGCAACTTTTTGCCCATTTCCTTCCCAGTATTGTCCTGTCGTTTTGTGGGACTTGTCTCTCGAAAGCCAACCTAGTGGCTCATATTTCATCTTGTCTTTGAGAGCTACAGTGAGATTAGCTGTCTAATCTTGTTATTGGTGCTAATCCCAGAAGGATCAAATACATAGAACCTCGCTATACCCCCACTGTGGACATAAAGATTACTGTAGTCTTTAGCGGAGAAAGCCAGGGTAGGCCTAGGAGCATCGGGAGTTCTAGCGCCATGAGGTGGGCAGTGCTGGCACTAGGCAGACACATCGTGCCTACCTTCCCTGGCCTAGGACAGGTGGCTGCTCTTCGTAGACAGCAGCCTATCTAGCGCTGGGCAGAGCTGGCCCTTTATCCAGATCAGATGTGTTTCCATTTAATGAAATGAAGGTTCCCGAAGAACCTACGCCGTTAGCTGTAATTGCTCCTCAGTTGCGTAGCAAATCCAAGTTTTATGACTGCACCAGGTCTCAAATAATTAGATTCCAACCGAAGCAGTGCAAAGAGGGGTCAGGTAGGAAGACAGTAAGTCTTTAATAATTGAACAGTACTCCCCTGCAGTACGGCTGCCTCTGTAGGTTTGTGATACAGGGCGGAAGACTTGGGCTTGGAGTTCAGACGCCAAGTACCAAAGGCTAGCATTCCCTCTCAGGCTAGCATCCGCGCTCAGGACAGCATCTGCGCTCAGGACAGCATCCTCAGGCCAGCATCCTCCCCCCATGCTCAGGACAGCATCCGCACTCAGGACAGCATCCTCCCCCCATGCTCAGGACAGCATCCCCGTCCCTGCTCAGGACAGCATCCCCACTCACTCACCTTGTAGGGGAGGACAAGACAGTTCTGTTTCTTCATCTGTGTGATGCAAACAGAAAGCCTGTGACAGAGTGTGCCTCCCCCTGCCGTCTCTTGGCTTAGGCCATGCCGATTAAGCATCCATCCTTTAGGCATCTGGCTCCAAAATGCAGCAGGAAGCAAAAGGACGTCTTTATGGAGTTTATAATCTAATAGCTGCTCTCTCAGTGTTAGAACACAGCAGAAAGATATGAGTGATGAGCCAAGGCTGATATTAGGCAAAAATCCAAAGAAGTGGTAGAGAAGTAAGATTTTTACATTTAACAGTGTAAAAAAAAAAAAATCCCCTTAAAACCACTCCTTATGCAAATAATGTCCCCAGCTTAGATTTCTATCCACATTTACTGATGTGTCCTGTCTCCTTAGCATAGTTGAAACTGGCCTTGGGGAATCTTATTTGGCTGGAGATTTAAACTAGTTAGGTTGCAAGAGACCCACAGTTCTTTCGTTGGTATCTGCCACAGTTTCTCACAAATACTTGATTAAATTTATACACACATATATCTCCCTTTTAAACCTAAGAATGGTACCTCTCCTGCTCCCTCCCTTGTTTTGGTCCCTCTGAAGGATGAATTGTCATTCACCCAGCAGGTCAGATCCTTCTTTGTCCTCCCCTTTCACAGTGGGACAGTGCTCCATGTACCCCACCCGCTAGAGCTTGTTCCCAGGTCTTCGCTGCTGCAAACAGCAGTTGCCAAGACCATCCATGTACATACATCTTTGCACACATATACAGCAGCATAAGGTTTCCAGAATTGGAATTGCTAGACTAAAATGCCATGTTTTTTATTTTGTTCTTATTTGAGATGGGGTCTAACTATGTAACCCAGGCTGGGCCTGAACTCAACAGTCCTTCGGCCTGTAATGTCAATGATTCAAAGAGTTAGACCTTTTCTGGTTTTCGGTATGGTCTCATGTAGCCTAGGCTGACCTGGAGCACGCTGTGTGGCCAACGACAACTTTAAACTCCAGACCCCCTGCCACCCGCCACATCCACCTCCCAAGTGCTAGAATTTCAAGTGTATGCCACCATACACCTTCCTTTATCCACCTTCCCTGTCAACTAAGATGGCAATTCTCCAGTGGACCCCTCGGCTAACAGGGTCGGCATCATATGACATCACATTGAAATGTAGACTCAGCCCTCCCAAACCCTCTGCAGGAGGAACTTGGTTAGAACCCTGCAGCTCTCTGTGTAATCCTGCCTCTGGAGCTCCTAGGTCAGAAGGTTTGGGGCAAGGGCCCAAGAACAAGCGTTTGGAGTGAGTTCCCATGCGCTGAGTCAGCGCCTCACTCTCGCAGTGACACTTACTTCTTTTTTCAGTGCCGAAGAATCAAGCCTAGGCCACATATTACCAAACAGGCACATCTACCCCTGAGCCCACCCCCAGCCCTTTGCTGTGAGATTCACTTCCAGGCCGGTTTTCTCGTTCCCTCTTTGCGGAGGAACATCGCCACAAAGCGACTGCGCAAAGCTGAAGCTGGGTGTCCTGGCTCATACCCCTAGTAGCAGCACATGGGAGACTGAGGCAGGAGGATTGTCACAAGTTGGAGACAGCTTAGCGTGGGCTTCCCAGTGAATCCCAAGCCAACCTGAACTAGAAAAAGGAAAGGGAAAACTGCTTGTTCTTGTCAGGCAGAAGGAATGATCTTCGGGGAGTGCCTGGCTGTGGTGGCCAGGAGCTGCCCTCCCGGGAAAGCCTTGCACTAGGGAATGTGGAAAGTTGCTTGACTTTAGAGCTCCTAAAACGCTGCACAGCGCCCCCATCTGTGCAGGTTGCTTACTGCATATAGAAAGGGAAGGAAACCTGGATGGAGATCCCCCAGAAACAGAAAGGGAAGAACCTCAAAAAGTACTTTCTTGTTGGGCAGTTTGATGCATGCCTTTAATCCCAGCAGTCGGGAGGCAGAGGCAGGCCTCTCTCTCTCTGAGTTCGAGGCCAGCCTGGTCTACAGAGCGAGTTCCAGGACAGCCAGGGCTACACAGGGAAACCCTGCCTTGAAAAACAAATAAATAAAACAAAACCAAAAAATTCTTTCTCACGTAGTTCAGGGCTGGTCACTTTGTTGTTGTTTTGTGAGACAACATCTTTCTATGTAGTCCAGGCTAGCCTGGAAATCACTAGATAGCCCAACCTGTCCTCTACTTCACGCAATCCTGCCTCAACATACAGACATGCATGTGTGCACCTAGGGTGCTGGGTTACAGAGGTGTACCATCAGGCCTGCTTTGTTTTATGTTTTTTTCTTTTTTGAGACAAGGCCTTGCTAAGTTGCTCTAGCTTGACTATAAACTCAGCCTCCCAGATTCTAAGATGACATGAGTGAGCCGTAATGTCCAAACAAACTCCTTCTTCGCTACAGAAATGGTTATTGGGCCTAGTGGTACACGTAGACCCTCCAAAGAGCACCCATGCCCTTTAGATCCCACCCCCAAATATTCTGAAGACAGGCTAGGATATATAAGACCCAGCCTCCTTCCAGGAAAAAGATGAAGACTGTAGATGTGCCTAGTTTGGGTTCTGTTACTGTTATTAAATTCCATGACCAACAGCAACTCGGGGAAGGAAATGATTCATTTCATTTTCTGACTGCCAGGTCACAGTCCATAAGGCAGGAACTCAAACAGGAACCTCAGTGCAGGAACTGAAGCAGAGACCATGAAGGGCGGCTGCTTATTGCTTGCTTTTCACGACTCACTCAGCTTGCTTTTTGTACAATCCAAGGTCAGCTGCCCAGCACCACCCGTAGTGGGTTGGGCCATCTCCCATCAGTCATTAATCCTCCCCCCACAAATACCCATCAGATTTGCCTGCAGCCCAGTCTGGTGGAGGACCATCTCAGTTAAGGTTCCTGCTTCCCAAATGTCTCTAGTTTGTATCAAACAGCACAGACAGAAGGCGGTTATCATAGTCTCTGAAAGTGTTGTTTCCCATAGCTTGCCAATTCTGGAAGCTACTGTTGGGCCCTTAGGGCTCTCCAACCACTGTGCCACTGGCAGGGCAGCAGTTCCCGTTACCATTGCAAATCCACTCTTCCGCGCTGGTGTGTGCAGTGTGTGCTTCTGCTAGCCTCCAATAGTTTCTCAGCTAGGTTTAACCTTAAGTGGGCTCCCTGGAGTCCAGCCTTGGCCCCTCAGAAGGACTTGCTAAATCCTTTGCCCTCCAGCCTCTTTCTCTTAGCAAAGTTATAGAGGCCTGGCTTGACGCCGCCAGCTTCCCAGAGGACACCAACTGAGATCATTCCTCCTGGGCAAACCAGGCCCAAACATCCTCTCCATTCACACGGCCCCTCTGAGTGTTCCTGAATGAGTTGGCCTCCCTTGGCACCTATCCCTAGGTCACCAAGGACATTCAGCTGAACCCTGCAGAGCATCCCAGGTGTCCCCTGGACTGGAGTTCATCTTCTTCCCCTCCCCAGAGTCGGCAAGAAGATCCTGTAAATAATGTCCTTTGGGTCTTAACACCATGAATCATTGTACACATGGGTATGCCACCTCAATTTGTAGCGAAGAAGCCAATCAGTCCCCTATGGGGTTTAACTTTAGCTTGTGTGTATATCTATGCACGAACATGGGTGCTTATACTCACCCTAAAGATCTGTTGGCTGCCCATGAGCACCTAAACTGGTAAATCACAGTCCACCTTTAAAGGAGCATCGTAAATCTATGGATATGTGTGCATCTGCTCACAAACTCTACTAATGTCCATATATGTTTCTTTTCTTCATATATGTTTCTTAACATATATGCACGTATGTATGTCTCGTTCTTTCAGCGTAGCGGCTCCCAGTTAGTAAAGTCTCTAGCTTGCATGTTCTTCAATATTTGTCGCATTTGAAATGACCAGGTGACCTCACCTTTTGCCCTCAGGCTGCACATGGGAGTTTGGAGCCATGGTGAACTACATCAAGAAGACATATCCCCAGACCCAGCTGGTTGTCGTGGGCTTCAGCCTGGGCGGTAACATCGTGTGCAAATACCTGGGGGAGACGCAGGCAAACCAGGAGAAGGTCCTGTGTTGTGTCAGCGTGTGCCAGGGGTACAGCGCACTGAGGTGAGTCGTCTGCCTCTCTCTCTCTCTCTCTCTCTCTCTCTCTCTCTCTCTCACACACACACACACACACACACACACACATACACACACACTCACACACACACACACAGTCGTGCACACACATCTTCTGTTGGGTCCTCCAGTTGACGGTATGCGTTTGTTGAGCTAAGCCGAGACCCTAGCGCAGGTTCCAGGGAGCCCCTTGCAGACCGAGCGAACTTTCCAACTCTTAGATCTGCTTCTGTGTTGTACACCAGAGTTGCCTCAGCAGGCCGGTTAGGTTTGAGGTGCGTCATGGTATTTTAGGATCAGATCTGTAATTGGATTACCAAAGCCACTGTAATAGCTGCTGCTTCCCTAGGGAGTCTCAGATTATGTCTGAATGTCAGTACTATGGCAGAACTACGTGTTAACAAGAGAACACGGGAAACAACAGTGTCTGACCCCTGGGCCTTGTGACCCTAGATCCCTCCATCCAGCAGGATGGTTGAGTGTCAGATGGTGTCTGAAGGGACATTTGGAAGTCATCTAAGTGCCCTAACCTGAAGGATTTATCTCTCAGCATCCTGGGAAGCTAGCCTAGGGAGCAAATGTGTACCTCAGCCCTTAGTCTCCTGCCAGCAAACTCTCCAGGATGAGTTCATGTGTGAAGGACTCAGAACAATGCTGGCTACAGAACATAATTGTCAGCAGCATCACTACTGGGCACTGGGAAATGAGGAGGGTGGCTTAGATCAGAGATCACAAAGGCCAGTCCGATGACCGCTGGTCAGGTTCAGCACCCTGACATCTTTTGTGTTAGAAACCATTAGATTCCTTCCCAGCCCTGGTTCCGGGAACTTGCCGTGGACACTAACCTAGTGTTCAGAGAGCACTGGGTTTTATAAATAGGAAGCTTGTGACAAATTTGCCCTTTTCTTCTCCTCCCTCCTGGCCTCTCAATCTTACAATAAACAAGTTTCCTTGCAATTTGCAGCAATATCGCCATCTGCTGTTGGCAGATGAGCAGCACAGTTAGCAAGGTAAGGTGAAGTGCTGTCCCTCCGCCCTTCCCTGAGACCTCCGGGAGCTCAGACACGCAATTGCCTATTGTCATGAGTCTCATACAATAGGAGAGGAAAAGGTCGGTTGCGTCTCTAGACTGTGATTGGCATTTGGCTGAGACCCTGCCGTCCTCCACATGGAATCTTGTGTGGCAGGACAGAAGCGCCGTTGTCCTGTGTGCTGGCACTGTCTGGGGCTCATAGCCATGGCTGAAGGAAGGAAGGAACATTCCATACATGAGACCAGTGTAACCTTCTCTTCCTGCAGACGCTAGAGGCAGGAGCCTTTTCGTCCCTGCATGGCAGCTGGGCAGGATGAACAGGAAAGTGCATTGCATTCTGACTGACATCCCAAATATAAAATTCATTTCTTACATCTGACAGGCAGCTCCCACAAACATAGCTTGCAAGTTTTTCCTCTAGGGTTCTGAGTAGCCACACAGTCCCCATCACAGGGTCTTGCCCACCTCACGCGATGTTAACGATATCTCTGGGATCTTCTCTGTAATTACATTTGCTTGTTTGTTTGTCTGTCTGTTTGTGGGGAATGGGTGTGTATTCATGCCACAGCACACATGTGGAGGTCAGAGAACATATAAAATGGTCTCTGTGTATAGCCATGTCTGGCATAAACCGTGCTATGTAAACCAGGCTAGCCTCAAACTCACAAAACTCTGCTTGCCTCTGCCTCCTCTGGGTGCTGGAATTAAAGGTGTGCGCCATGGTGCCTGACCAGGGGACAGTTTTTGAAACTCAATCCTGTCCTACCATGTGGGATCTACAGACTGAACCCAGCTTGTCACTTAGCAGGAAGCGCCTTTGCCCACCGAGCCACCTCAGCAGCCCCTCCCCTGGGATTCTCTCTACTCTCATGAGTGAGGTTCTCCTTGGGTGTACACCACTCATCTCGTAAGGCTATCTGAGACTATAGCATCCTCTCTTGCTCCCCTTCAGAGTTTCCTGTGCGCTCTCATGACCCCACCGCTCCTCGTCCCTCTGTGAGTAATACTTACAGTCCATCCTGGTACCCTGTGTCGCCACATGTGTCGCGCTCTACCTCTCTGTTCATTAGATCTCCTAAATCCCAGGCAGACACTGCCGCCCTTCAAAGGCATGTTGCTCATTGGCCCAGCATCTGTGTCCTCACCCTCCTTGGGCTCTGGATCCCTGTGAACTCAGGGACTTTTCTGCAATGCAGCACCCGTGATATTGCACCTGAAAACCTCTGCACTGCTGGCACGTGACTTTATGGCCAGGATCACCCTCCCCTCCTTACCTCTGCAGCCCCTCTTCTCTTAGGTAGGTCCTAACAAAAGCAAGGATGCTCCCCAGTCAGGATCTAAGCAGAGGGAGAAATGAATGAGATCAAGAGAAAACAGGGCCTCTGAGGGACCAGGACAGGACTCTCAGAGCAAGCAGCCCCAGGGGGCTGAAGGTCAAGAGAGGAGGAACCAAGTAGAGGAGTAGTGGGCTGTGGCTCGATGGTTGAGAGATAGGACGTTAGGTATGTGTTCATAATGTCCCACCTGTGATGGTGTGGCTTGATTGTGATGATGTGGCTTGCGTTTCTACCTGCAGGTTTAGGGAAGTCCCGTACATGCTAGGGGCTTCTCGGAAAGCGTGTTCTTCTCCACATGAAGCTTCAGCCTTTGTTTGGTGAACACATCACACACACCTTTATGCTACCCAGTTATTTATTTAAGCAGTAGCAGCAGATTCTTGGCAGGTCAGGAGGTGTCGGGCCTGCTACCAGCAGCCAGCTGTGCCATTATGGCCCTGGAGGCTTCCTGCAGGGTCATCTTCAGAGGGCTTTGTGACTTCTCCCCAGATGTCTGGATGCAGCCCGTCAAAGCTGATATCCAACACGGGCAGAGCCAGCATGCGCTGCCCACATAGCCCCGTGCCGCAGTCATGGCGCCTCTCATCTGCTGTGGTTCTTCCAGGGCCCAGGAGACCTTCATGCAGTGGGACCAGTGCCGCCGATTCTACAACTTCCTCATGGCCGACAACATGAAGAAGATCATCCTGTCTCACAGGTATGCCACCCTCTCTTCTGTCTCAGGGGGTGCCTCGGGGTAACTCCCGCTAAGACGCGACGAGGAGGCTCTTCGCCTGCCATTGTGTACCCAGTGAGAGTAGCCGTGATGGGACCTGTCATTCTAAGTGTCTTCCTCCTCAGGAGGCTGCTGGGAAGGGCTTCAGCCCTGGGTCTTGACCAGTCCTCAGCTTCAGCCACGTGGCAGGAGGCTCAGAGTAGCGCACCATCGCCTGCCTGCTCAAGGCTCAGGCCCTTCGAGCCGTGCGGAGGGAGCAGTTGGCCAGGGGATGTCAGCAATGGCTTTGCTCTAGTTATTTCCATATCTAGAGTTTCCATATATTTCCATATAGAGAGTTGGTTTCTCTCCCTTTTCTGTGGCTCTTCCCTTCCCCTCTAACTAGACGGGGGGGTGTGGAGACCCCTGCTCCCTTGGCCTCTCCACACCTCTATCCCTGCCAGCATCTGCCCACGGGGCCCACACTGTCCCTTGAGGCCCATCTCAGTCACCCTTCTCGCTTCAAGCTGGTTGTCTGAGGCTTCCTCTGGGTTATCAACTTGTGGGTCTCAATCCCCTAGGGGGTTGAATGACCCTTTTACAGGGGTCACCTAAGACCATCAGGAAGCATGGATATTTTTACATTATGATTCATAACAGTAGCAAAATTACAGTTATGAAGTAGCAAGAAAAATAATTTTTTGGTTGGGGTCACCACAGCATGAGGAACTGTATTAAAGGGTCACAACACTGTCCTAGAGCCTGGCACCCAAGGAACACTCAAGAAACACTTTAGTGGGGGCTGGAGAGATGGCTCAGAGGTTAAGAGCACTGACTGCTCTTCCAGAGGTTCTGAGTTCAATTCCCAGCCACCACATGGTGGCTCACAGCCATCTATAATGAGATCTGGTGCTCTTCTGGCATGCAAGCATACATGAAAGGAATGTTGTGTACATAATAAATAAATGAAATCTTTTTTTAAAAAAAAAAGAAACACTTTAGTGGGGACTCTTGGCACCGCCATGAGGAAAAAAAAAGCATTCTAGGTGATCAGTTTCTTGGTCCTTTTGGTTGGTTGGTTGTTTTGGAGGGGCGTTTTGGGGGGAGGTTGAAATTGTTTGTTTTAGTTGTGGTCTCACTGTGTTGTCTAAGTTGACCCTAAACTCTTGAACTCAAGCAATCTTCCTGCTGCAGCCTCCTGCATATTGGGCCCACAGGCATGCACCCCAGTGCTCACCTCTTAATTTCCTCCCTCCACCCTAGTGATTAAAAAAGCATTGTCTAGCTCAGCTTAGCCACACACCCCAAACCAAGCTGAGCTTCCTGTGGGTGGACTCACATGGTACCTGAGCAAGGGTGGTGCTCACAGACCCTCAAACTACAAAGCTACAAGGCTTGTCCTCAGGGCCTTGTGTCAGGTTGGTTGAGGAGAGACTTCTGTCCCCTGTGCCGAGGCAACGTCAACAATCCTACTCAACTATGTGATTTGAACGGCGGTCACATGCTGACCACTGAGTTGGAGGCAGCCCAGCTGCAGTTCCGGTGGGTCTGAGGATTTACTGAGGCTCTCTAGCCAGATGGGTGAAGTTAGAGTATTTAAGTCCCTATGTCTGCACCTCTAGAATGGACCGTGAGTCCTCCGAGGGAAGATGTTTTGCAGAAAGTGCGAGTGTTGCTAAAAAGTCCTGAAGGTTCATTATGCAATTGCTAGCAAATTGGGAAGGCATGTTGGTGTGTTTACCATAGAAAGCCAACTGACTGAAATCTGAGGGAAACTTTAGGCTCTGAATCCAATCCTTTGCCGCCTTATTTGGGAAAAAGTAAGTTCTAAGAAAGGATGCTGATCTTCTTTTGGAGGTTATAAATGGATACAGAGCCCTGCGTTTCTGGCATGACTGTTTCCTACTGTCGCGCCAACCCTCAAAGCAGACCCAGTCCTCCCTCGGCTGCGTGACTGAGAATACCAGCTTGGAAGGGAAGTCCACCCTGCCCGTTGTCATCCCTACCGTCATTGTCATGTCCTAAATGGATGTTCCTCTTCATAGAAACGACCTCTGTATGGATCCCACTCCTCTATCTCCACAGATGCACAGGTCCAAACCATAGCGGATGGAGATCACGGTTAGCCCTGGCTTTATCTGTGCCGAATGTGTGCAAGTTTACCTCCTGAGAGTTTGTTTGGAGGTCCTAGCAGGGGGTCATAGCTACTTGTGTGTCCTTGACCGAAGACCATTTCTTGTTTAGGGAAGGTCATCCTCTTTGACCAAGCATGCAGCTCCTATAGAGACACACAGAGAACTGTGGGGGGTGAGGGGGTCACCAGCCTAGCCAGCCTGATCACCCTCACACCCGCAAGTTTTTCACTCATCTCCTAAATTGTATAGTCAAGTCTAGCAACTGTTTTCATTCCATCCCTAATGTCATTGAGAGGTGACTAAGCATGCAGGAGATGGCAAGGTTACATGCACATCCTAAAGCCAGGTATGCTGGCACATGTTCTTGTCCAAGCTACTCAAAAAAGAAGAGACAAGAAGATTGCTTGAGCCTAGGAGTCTGAGAACAGCCTGGGTAACACAAAGAGACCCTGCCCTATCCCGTTCCACCACTACCACCCTCCAATCCTGGAGTATCTATAGATTTGGATCTCTGAGGAATATCCTCTTGTTGTTTGTTTTGTTTTGCTTTGCTTTGCTTTGTTTTTTCAAGACCGGATTTCTCTGTGTAGTCCTGGCTGTCCTGGAACTCACTCTCTAGACCAGGCTGGCCTCAGACTCACAGAGATCCGCCTGTCTCTGCCTCCCGAATGCTAGGATTAAAGGTGTGCACCACCAGCGCCCGGCATCTGAGGAATATTGTAAAACTAATTGCCTGTGAATACCAAGGGACAGCTTTTCAGCTGACACCGTGGAGAGCTGCTGATTCTGCCAGATGCCAAAGGGGTTACTGGTTTGCTTCCTTGTTAAGCAACACGAGCAGCTTGTAAGGGAGCAAGGGCCGGCCAGCGGTTGGCAGCATCCACACCGGTGTAAACCTGAATCCCCGTGTTTGGCTGGCTGCCTATCACTCTTCCTGGGCCTCCTCCCCTGTGCTAAAGGCTGTATACTATCCGGCCAACTTGAAACCTAGTCTTCAGTTTATCTTGGTACCCTGGAAGGAAAAGAGGGCTTTAAAGTTCATCTTCCTATGCATGCTCATCTTGAATATTCTAAAGGCACAAAGGAGCCAGGCTTGATAGCACATTCTTGTAATCTCCGAATGTGGGAGGTAAAGGCAGGAAACTCAAGAGCCTGAGGTCATCCTTGGTTACCTGGGGAATTTAAAATTAGCCTGGACTACAGGGGACCCTGTGTTTAAAAAAAAAAAGTAAATAAATAAACAATACAAGTAAAAAAAAATAAGAACTGGGGCTGCAGCCTACAGTAGAGTGTTTGCCTAGCATGCCTATGACTCTAGGTTCAATCCCCAGTAACACAGGGAAACAAAAACCAAAAATAAATAAAAGACTGGAGGGCTGTATGTTTGATTTACCGTAACTCTGGTCCCGTGGCGACTGGCGCTCCTGGTCTGCCCGTGGCCAGGAAAGCCGGCTTCACTGTGGTGGCTTCTCTTCGGCATCGCCTTGTTCACTTCTGTGTCTTGTTCTAGACAAGCTCTTTTTGGAGACCATGTTAAGAAACCCCAGAGCCTGGAGGACACGGACTTGAGCCGGCTCTACACAGCAACATCCCTGATGCAGATTGATGACAATGTGATGAGGTGGGTCCCCAAGGCCAGCTCTGCCAGCGCCACTGCCTTGCTCCCCTTGCTTCGGCGGCTTCTTCTCATTCCATTCCATAGGAGAAGGGATCGTAGGAAAGTTCTCATCTCTTGGAAATGGGTAAAGACTCTGACCATGTGGCACGGGCAGCTTGAACTGGTGGGTGAAGTATCTCCACCTAGTGGTCCCCCTCGTCAACACTGATATGTCCAACACAGGACAAGATCAGCGCCCCCCCAGGCCTGCCTTTGCAGTGTGCGGGGGCAGTTTTTTTACATGGTCAGAATGCTTATCCAACTTCGGTGGCTGAGGCTATCAAAAGCAGATGACCAAAGGTAGACCAAGAGACCTGTAGGTTCCCGACAACACATGGAACCACTTTCTGGGCATGGGGAGAGGCGAAGAGGCTTCTGGGCAGAAGATGTAATCCCCACCCGGTACTCTCATTCAGTCTTTCCCTGCCTGGACTTGCGGCTCCTATGATCTCACCTCTGCTGGCACCGACACCTCCTAATTGAAGTCAGAAACTTGACTTGTAGAGCTGGCCTCAGACCTTGTCCCTGTCTTTCACATTTCGCAATCCTTTGACACGGTTAGACGTAGCCTAAAGCATACAGGTCCTCCTGGATAGTTAGCTGACTGTTGGCCTGAGGCTGTGAGAGCTCTATTTTGTTCTTCCTTTCCTTTGACACCAAGTAAATTCAAAGGGGCCAGTTACTGCTTTCTCAGAGCAAATAAAAACTATGGAATTGCTAGTCTATTTAAAAGGAGGAAATTGTCTTAGGGTTTTCATTGCTGCTAAGAGACACCATGACTGTGGCAACTCTTATAAGGAAAGCATTTCATTGGGGTGGCTCACTTACAGTTGCAGAGGTTCAGTTCATTATCATAGTGGGGAGCATGGTGGCATGCAGGCAGAATAGCGCTGGAGAAGTAGCTGAGAGTCCTACATCTTCCAGGCAACAGGAAGTCAACTGAGACACTGTGCAGGATCCTGAGCGTAGGAAACCTCAAAACCCTCCCCCACAGTGGCACACTTCCTCCAACAAAGTCACACCCACTCCAACAGAACCACACCTCCTAATAGTGCCACTCCCTATGAGATTATGGGGGCCAATTGCATTCAAACCACCACAGAAATAAACGATGCCTAGCTCTCTTAGGGTACCGTATATAACTTGCTGTGGTCCTAATAAGGATAGAAAAGTAATTTAATTTTAATGTAATATAAATTTCCCATCCATCATCATAATTTAAGCTCAAAAGGAAAAGCCCCTCAGTTCTTGTGAAGGCCTTCATCATCTGTAGTATTGGGTGGTGGCGGTTCTGTAATCAAACTGCTCTGGCAGCTTCCTCACAGAGTGGTCTCCAGCAATGCTGGAGGAATGGAATGCTTTGGAGACCACAGAGGACAGAGTCACACATCCTGGATGTGATCTCTGCGCACAGCCTCTTCCCCACTAGGGGACTCTAATGGTCTAGCCTGAGCCTTCTGGGTCCTTTCCAGACTGGGGAACCTAAGAAGGCTGGAGGTGGAAGAGATGCTCAGCTCTAGGGGAGGCACAACATCTCGGGGACTTGAAGTGAAATGGAAGGGCCACGTTCAGAGCCTCTTAACGTAGGAAAGAAAGGGAATTTCAGAGGTCTTCTGGCCTGCGATAGAATTTGGGGTCTCGGCATCAGAGCCCAAACTGAACTCTCCAGGCCTCGCAGCCCGGAGCTGAGCAGAGCTGTCAGCGTCTCCGGTGTTGTGAGACCTCAGGTGGCCAGTGACAGGTACTGCTCCTTGAGTGGAGGAAACTGGTCATGTCTTAGTCTCCAGCACACTTCATTCCAGCAGCTCCAGGGTAACGCTGCTGAAAACGGAGTTCTAGCTCATACATGTCTGTGGCCCTGAGTATCTCGTCAAAGATAATAAACGATTTGATGCTGCCTCAAAAAGATGCAGTAGCCAGTGATGAGTATTACAGTTTATATTGACTGAGATTTCTCCAGGCTGGGCGCATGGAAGCCCTTCCATACCGTCTCACAACACCATCAGGGAAGGTCTTGTCTTTGATCCACTTTACAGTGAGATAGCTAAGACCCAAGAATCTTGAACATGTGCCTGAGATTGCCCAACCAGAAAGTGGCAGGGCCAGGATTTGAATCCAGATCCTAAGCCCGTGCTCTTGACTCCAAACTCTGCCGCTTGCGTTCATTTTGGTGCAATAGCTAGAACCATAGAGAAGCCGCTGCCTGTGTGGATTCTGCCATTGCAGTGAGTTAGTGTGGAAAGCAGACAGTCATCGGCTCAGCTCTATAAGAGATGTCATTTTACCTTTGTGTGTGTGTGCTCATGTTCCAGAAAGTTCCACGGCTATAACTCCCTGAAGGAATACTATGAGGAAGAAAGCTGCATGAGATACCTGCACAGGGTGAGTGGCGGCCCCGCCTCAGAATCAGTGTCACTGCAGCCAGCTTTGCCCAAAATACATTTTCTAAGTTCCCTGGGGGAAGCGGGGCCAGAATCTGGTCACCATCACGCTAGTTTGTCACTCAGACTTTCTATTGAGCTGGTTGCCCTTGCTGTGACTGCCATAGTCTCAAGTCCCAGAGCCACACTCAGACCAGGCTTCTCTCAAGTCTGTGAAATTGCCTGAGGCAGTCAGGTTATCCTCAGACATCCTTTTGACCGTATAGTAATAAAAGCACCTGTATTCTGCCGTGGGTTCTCATGGGAGATCCATCTGACTTTCTTGCTGCTCTTGACCCTGTCTTGTGGCCATTTGTATCTTACTAACATGCTGTCTAGTACTGAACTCTCAGATTTCTGCCACGATCTGGTAAACACAGAATAAATTGGGGGAGTTCTGTATCAAAGTGACAAGAAACATGCCTTCTGAAACATGTACTAGGCATGGTAACATGCACCTGTAATAACCAGTACTCAAGAAGCTGAGGCAGGAGGATTGCTGTGAGTTTGGTGCCAGCTTGGTATACTTATACCCAGCCAAGCGAGAGCTGCGTTGAAAGACCACAACTCAAAAGCAAAAAGAAGGCCAGCAAGATAGCTCATCAGGTGAAGGTGTTTGCCACCAAGGCTAGTGCTCTGAGTTCAAAACCCAGGTCCCACATGGTGGAAGGAGAGGAGTCACTCCCAAGTTGTTCTCTGACCTCGCATGCATGAGCGCACACGCTCACATAGATGCACAAATTGATATCATAAAACAAATTAAAGGTAAACTGGTTTTGATCTGTTCTTTTAGCACCTATGGCAAACCTTGTGTTTCCTAAGTTGGTGACCAACACAATTCCCGTATTTCCTGAACCAGCACTGAGCCAGACTCCTCCCTTCTGCCGTGCACCGTTGCTCTTATGCCAACACACAGCTCCCCATGTATCGGTGCCCACAGGGGTGGCTGTGAGTTATAGTTCTGCGACTGTCGTAGCTATGGCTTTCACCCAGGCCTTTGGCAGGCCAGAGTGTCAGGAGAGCACAGCCATTCAGTGTGTCAGGGTGGCGGTTCAGGATAGTCTGAGTGCCCCCATCAGCACCCTCTATACTCTAAACCAAAAGGAGGCTCTTATTATCTGTCTTACTAATATGCGTATTGAGCACAGTCCTGCCAAGAGCTCCCTGCCACCCACCAACCCGCTCCTATTTGTTTGTGCAGTTTTGTTGAAATAGGTATTGAACCCAGGGCCTTACATCTGCCACTTAAGTGCTCTGCCACTGAGAGACATCTCTAAAGCTGGGGTTTTTGAAATAGGGTATTGAGATAAATATAGATACAGATATATATCTCCCAGGCTGGCCTTGAACTCACAATTCTTTGCCTCTGCCATCCAAGTTCTGGGATTATGAGGGTACACACCTGACTCTCACTCCTGTTTGCATCTTTCAGGTTCTTCTAAAAGGTCTCTTTTCCCTCTAGTGAGATGCACGTCACTATTTTTTTTATACTGTAAGCCAAAGGATGGATGGATAGATAGATAGATAGATGGATGGATGGATGGATAGATAGATAGATAGATGGATGATAGAAGTAGATAGATAGATAGATAGATAGATAGATAGATAGATAGATAGATAGATAGATAGATAGATAGAGACAGACAGACAGACAGACAGACAGACAGACAGACAGACAGACATCTTGATGCTGTCATTTTTCTGAGAACTGTGGCTAATGTTAAACACTGAAGATAATTGGAAACACTTGTGAGTAAGGACAATTAAGCCTCGTCTCCCATGAGCACACAGATCTCCTAGGGCACTGGCTGACCTGCTGCCAGGTGGTGGTCACAGCAGACTTGTCCCTCCTCTCGCTGCCAGTGACAGTGAGGCATCCTTAAGGCTCCAGTCCAACGAACTGAGCTCTGAACGTTCCCCTTTGCTACAAAAGCATGTCTGGGAGGGAGCGGGCCGTGTAACGCCAGTGTACCTTCTTGCTGCAGATATACGTGCCTCTTATGCTGGTTAATGCAGCTGACGACCCCTTGGTGCACGAAAGCCTTCTGACCATTCCAAAGTCTCTCTCAGGTGAGTCTCTTTCCGCTGTTTTCCCAGCCCCACAGCAGATTACCGCTGTCCGTCTTGTCCCTTTCGCTGTTCTGTCGGCAGATGGAGACAAGCCTCGGGAGAGGGGCAGCCTATGGACTGATAGCCCTGGGCTGCAAAGGCCCCTGGGTAGAACCTTCTAGTCTTCCATCCTGGTGCAGGAGACAGGACCATTCTTGATATCCATCACCAAGAATGTCCTGTAGCGGCGTTGTCTCAGAGCTGTCGTTCCGCTAAGTGGGAGAGCCTGACTTAAAGAGAGATTTAGAACTAAAATTTGCCCTAAAAGGCAACACAAAACAGAGCCCATTCTGCTCCCTCTGATGACAGCCTCTCCATCTGCCTGGAGTTTTATAAGCAGCTGAAATGGCGAAGAACGTTGCTCACAGAAACACCATGCAGGCTCAGTCCATCCCAGGGTTGGCGCTACAAGGGAGGCAGAGGGAGGAAACATGAGGAAAGGCTGGGGCTCCACTTACTTCGCCGTGCAGTTTCAGGTCCCTGGGGTATCATCTCCACAGACCTCTGTGATTACATTTCCTCTTGTAAATACAGTAGCCTAAAGGAAGAGCTAACCCTGTGGCCCCTGCTACCTCCCCTACAGCTGCAAGAGCAAATAAGGTAGCAGAAGAAGCCGCCTCACAGAGCTTCTTCCTGCTCAGGAAAAAGGCTGTGGGGGAGTGCCTATTTCATGACAAAAACTATCTCCTATCAACCCCTAGCCACCCTCAAGACCCCCAGCAGACCACACCACAGCCCACTCAGCCACGCGCAACAGCACCTATCTCCTGAACCAAAAATAACATTCGCAGGATGGCGTTAGCTATCCCACAGAATAGCAACCAGAAAGGAATAGTGGAGGAAGCAAGACAAGGGCCTCGTCCACTACGTCTCCCCCACACCCTCCACCCCCCGGAAAACATAGTTCCCATTGAACTTGGCTGCCTCCTCTCCGCACCTCTCCAGTAGCCAGAGATCAGCTTAAACATGGACCCAAAGTTCAGCTTCAGGCCCTCAGCTCTCAGGATAGCCATTTAGCTCACGGCACTGGGAACCTGGGCATCTTTTACACACCTCGCAGCCTAAGCCTTAGTCCTGAAGATTGACATCTGGCTTGAGAAAGCACGGACTGCATTGCCTCTCCTTCCTCTCTGACAAAGAGAGGGCTGGAATTCCCTCCTCTGAGGCTTCCCACCCTTGGAGTTATCTAATCAGTGTGTGCATTTCAGTAAGACGCCCTGAGGAATCCAGGTGCACAGAGCTGGGAGGCACAGCCAGTCGGCTGGGACGGGACCCTTCAGCACCACCTCCTTCATCCACTCTCTTTTATCCCTAAGGTTGTAACTTAGTTATGTGAGGGTCAGGGTGTAGCTTGGGTTTATGGAGCTTTAAGTATGGGTTTGAAGGAATTCTGAAGCTGGTGCTCATTCTATGAACCAGATGTTATTTCTTTATTTTGGTGGTGCTGGAGATTGAACTCTGGGGGTTTCCATATGCCAGGGCAGTGTTCTACCATTGAGCTCTGTCCCCGGCCCTTTTGGTGCCCATTATACACCAAACTCATGAGGTCCTGCTGGCTTGCCTGCCCACTTGAGAAAGACAGCACAGTGTGCATGGTTAGATACCCACTTAGGTACCCTCTGAGGAATGCCGAGGCTCCCCAGCTTCCTCACCTTTGCCCTCTTGCTCTGGAGTTAATAGGATGCTGTAATTCTGCTGCCTTTCCCCCTACAGAGAAACGGGAGAACGTCATGTTTGTGCTGCCTCTGCACGGGGGCCACCTGGGCTTCTTCGAGGGCTCCGTGCTGTTCCCCGAGCCGCTGACATGGATGGATAAGCTGGTGGTGGAGTATGCCAATGCCATTTGCCAATGGGAAAGGAATAAGTCCCAGTGCTCAGACACGGAGCAGGTGGAGGCCGAGTTAGAATGAGGCCTCCGGACTCTGGTGTGCTCCTGTAGCCCTCCTCTGGAACCCGTGGCTGTTTCAGGTCTCCCATCTCCCTCAGTGACCTGGATCTGACCTCATACCATCAGTGGGGGGCCACCCATCATGCAACCTGTCTTAAGTAGGCGGCTCTCCCTGGGAGCTCCAGGCTATTTTTATGCTTAGTTACGGGTTTTCTCCATTGCGTTGTTAGCCATGGTGGCAAGCTACAAGATTCTCACCCTTCTGTCCAGCTTCAGTATCTGATCGCTCTTTCATGCCAGTTGTATCTAGTTTTCTAGTAAGGAACGCATCTGAGCTGCGGTTTTGCTTTGCCGATCAAAAAGGCCTCTTTCTGAGAACCGTGAAGGATGTGTGTCACTTGGTGATGGTTGTATGTGCCCTCACAGAGTCCCCAACAAGAAGTCAGCATCTCTGACCAATGCTGAAGAAAAGGACTTAGCTTTGGATGTCTGAGAGCCTGGTGCCTCCTAGGCCTGAGTTTTGCCACTGAAACAAAGGAAATTTCTTGAGTCTAAAGCCAGTTCCTTCTCACCGTCTTCCTGAGACACCTTCCTCCCGCCTTGCTGCTGCTGCTGAGAGTTGCGTGGGGCGCTTGTCTAAAAATTCAGCCTCTCGGATCCCTCCCCTCAGAGAGGCTGCCTCAGTGGGTTTGGGAAGGGGTCTGGGGATTTTAATTTTTGACAAGTGCCCCAGGGAATTCTCATCACCCAGCAAACTGAGGGAAACCCCATACTGTAATACCGCCCCTTTAAATTCGGAACATCTTGGTGGCTCATTTAATTGGCATTCATAAGCCACAATGTCTCTTTGCTCCCAGAGACCTCCGAAGCAGCATGGTCTGTTTTAGGACTCCCTTTGTGTGACCTCAGTGTGGGGTCCCTGAAAGGGAGAGGACATTTGGGCTGAGCCTGAGCTCTGCCTCTTCCCGGATGTGTAACCCTGGATAAATCCCTTTGGGATTGGCTCTCTTCCCCTATTAAATGGGGGATTTGGGCCAGGTAGATTGCTGAGATGGCCACCCTTTCTAAAGTCCAGCGACAAACTCGGCATGCTGAGGTCTGAGGGAACCTCCCTCTGGGGGATCCTGAGAGTGGATGACAGGGCTCGCAGTTTTTCTCCTTTCCCCGTTTCACATAAAGAGATTTAGAGTCTTAGTCGCTCACTTGTGAGTTTAGGTTTTCGTCCCAGGTCCAGCTCACTCTCAGTTTTGACACCAAACAACTCAAAAGTTGGATCTGAGTCTGGAGAAATGTATTTCCTGCTGAGAGGGGAGGGTTTCCTTTGGAAGTCAGTGTGTGGTTAAATAGCCTGTGTGTTGTCTGTTGGGTAAGGCTTTCCAAGCTGTCTGCTCGAGTGGGCATGTCACTGTAGGGTTCAAGTACTCTTCTCTTCTCCTTGTGGCACTTGAATCCCTGAGAAGCTTCACTTGGAAAATCCACAGTTCCTCTCTGGAATTAAATGGACCTGTGGATGAATTGCTTGGATACTGTTAAAAAAAAAAATTTTTTTTTCTCTGCTTCATCTTCTTTGGCTCCAGGACTGAATGAAATACAGTAATGGGTCTGTGTGGATATTTATGGAGCCACCTGTACCCCCGAATGCCAGTTCTCGGGGCTTCGGGTGCAATAGTTCGGGGGCTTTGGCCCCCGAGGGACTGTGACAGGAATGTCTGTAAACTGCAGAGCTGCTCTCCGACAATCACTAGGTCACCCCGTCACGTCCTGAACGGACATTCTCCCGGAACACTGAGACGTCTGAGGTCCCCAGTTTCCTTTGCTATAATCTCTTCACGTTCAACAAATTCTGTCACCGTGTCCCGCCAATGGTTGTCATTTTTTCTGTTGCTTTTTTTTTTTTTATGTTCCCTTGGCACAGATTGGCACTTTATCATTCACCCCTCAATTTGGAAGCTAACTCTTCTCTGTCAGTTTTCCCTCCACCCAACTGCAGCTGTTAGAGGACTCACAGAGTTCCTGCTGCTGCCTTGATCCCTTAAGACTTGGAAAGAAATAGAGTTGTCACCATAAGGGAATAGAGTTGTCACCATCCCTAGTAAGGGGCTCCCTGCATTTGCCTGAGGTCATCTCTTTCCAAGACCTGACTAAGCAGTAGCTTGGGTACCACCTGCTTCAGAGAAAAGTCACCCTGTTGTTACACCTAGGAGGATGTGGGGGACTGTCCTGGGAGCCTGATCTTTGCAGCAGGCCACACCCCTGGAAGTCCAGCCCCTAGGACGGGCGGGAGGGGACTCGTGCCAGCTGCAGCCTCCGCAGTGTGTGGCTCTGAATGGCACTGGCGTCCCATTTTGCTTCGCATGAAATCAACTGGAGCTCTTTATTCCTGCTCCGGGCCCTCAGGCATGGAAATGAGACCGGGGCCATGGCAGTCTGACAGGAAAATTCTTGTTGGCCCCTGAATGAGAGCACAGAAGCATGAACGTGGAGGTGCCAGCTTGCCTAGTGAATGAGGGGACAGCCCTCTATGTAGGTCAGCCCCTCTCCTTCCTCTGCGCTCCCTTGCTTTCTTTCCAAAGTCATCCGTTTCTAATGATGATGTGAATTGCCTGCTGGCTCTCAAGGACTAACTTGAACCAAAGGCTGAAGTTGTGGCGAACATTTGAATATTCTGTCTTAAAAATCAAGAAGGTAAATTATAGAGAACTAGACAAGTCTATGGCAGGAATAGCATTAAAACCCAAGTGCGGGGCTGGAGAGATGGCTCAGAGGTTAAGAGCATTGTCTGTTCTTCCTAAAGGTCCTGAGTTCAATTCCCAGCAACCACATGGTGGCTCACAACCATCTGTAATGAGGTCTGGTGCCTTCTTCTGGCCTGCAGGCTTACATGCAGACAGAATGTTGGATACATAATAAATAAATAAAATATTAAAAAAAATAAAATAAAAAAAATAAAACCCAAGTGCGGAAGGCACCCACATTACCCTAGCTGTGATCCCTCCCTCCCAAATAATCGGAAGACATTGTCTTCGGTCAAATTAGCTTGGAAAAAAATAAGTGATCAAGACCGTGCAGTTAGCAGGGAGGCCCTGCTTTTACTGCGATGACTTGGCATTGTCCACCCCTGGGCAGAATGGCGGTGGGAAGTTTGCCATACCATCCATATTCCTTTCATTTCTGTGGCATCTCACGGTTACGGGGGACCTTAGGAGCTCCTGGAATGTTCCCGAAAGGGAAGTCTTCCTTTGTTCGCATGGCATTCCATTATCAGGGTCAGGAGGCCTGTCTTCTCGTCCCCAGTGGCTCTGGCTCATCCTGCATCATCACTAAAACTGCTTTGTCCACTTCTGGATCATTTGCTCAGTCGCTGCTAACCATTGTCTGAAGCTGCAGGTAGAAACAGGTGACTCGCGACCCCTAAGCTCTTCTTGAGAGGACTTGGAGAGAGGAGCCCATTCAGCTTTTCCTAGTTAGGGCCCTGGACAGAGTCCAAAGCCATCTTAGCCTCTCTTCCTGTCTTCACCATTAAGGCATTTCCCTCGCCATTCTGAGGGTGGTCCTGTGACCGTGACAGGTGAGGGCCACCAGTCATAAGGAAAGTACCTCCGGCCTTCAGTGTGACCAGGCAAAGCATGGACAGTTGCCAGAAGTCCTCCTGTGCAGGCTGGTTCTGAACCCAGACTGCCCTCAGCTGAGCCTTCTGGGTAGCTGAGCTGACAAGGCTGGCATCCGGATGAGAGCTCTCTTTGTAAGCGGCTGACTTGAGGTCGAGTTTGCCAGCTCCGGGGACACAAGCACATGTGTTCTTGTTTGTGTTTGTCCCGGAAGCAGGTGCTGGATATGGGGGAGGCTTCTCTTTTCCCATGGCCTTGATTCTGACTTTGAGTGACAGTTTGGGCAGAAGAAGAAATTGGAAAAACAAACAAACAAAGTGGAGTTGGAGGAACGCCTGGGTTTCCCTGTAGACACGCAGGAAAGTTGTTAGGGAGCATGTCACTTCCGCGTCCTGTCACGGTCTCCCCTGGAACTGTTCTCCTTACCCAGAAAGCCTTAACTTGCTAGAAAATCCCCTGGTATGACAACACCGTGGCGGAAATTCAAACCCTTCTGCTTTGAAAGTTTGAAGCCAAGCCACAGTCAACCAGAGAATTTCCTCAGGTGGCCCGGAGGCTGCTGTGATGTTCCCCCCCACCTCTCACCCCCACCAACACGAGCGGTCTGGAACCGCCCCTCCACCTGTCTTCTTTGCCTTACTCTTCTCAAAGCCACTTTGGATCACTCAGATGCTTCGTGGGGGTAGGGGCCTGCTCGGCATTGAGGTGGCAAGCGGTTGGGGGCCAGGCGTCTTCCACCTGGTGTCTAAGCAAAGGGCAGTGTCCCCTCCTCGTAGACCAGGACTGTTTGTCCTGAACTGTGGCCACAGCTAAGGACACAGGAGCAGGCCTCTGCTGGCTAAGGAACCAGAACGGCATCCAGAGCAAAGGCTGCCCCGCCAGCCTGTCTCTGCCTCCAGGTGCTTTGCTACAGCCCGGCATCCTCTGGTCGTGGTCCTTAGAAACAGGCCACGCAGTCCGGCTTGCCAACAGTCCCCAGACATCCAGAACCTAGACCGCTGTCCCTTCTGGAAGAGTCCGTCCTCCATGTTTTCCAACTGTGTTCCTAGCATATGTGTAGGTAGAGCTTTCACCAATGCCTAATAAAGAAGTTGAAATTAATTTCTAATTGGTAGATAAAGTCTGACACCCTGAGTCTCGTGAAAGTTCTCAGCCTCTAACTAGACTCCTGTCAGCAAAATCCATTACCTTCCGTCTCCCCGTTCTGGTCCCCTTTAGCCAAGTACTCTTCTATTGCCATAAACTGGGGACAGGCCACTTCTGACACCTGCAGAAGTACCCTCAGTCTAAGTGGGCATTCTGCCCCCAGACCACACCACAGAGCAGTCAACATCACCTAAAACAATTGCCAACCTCCTTGGTCCCCAAGGCCCATCACTGCTCTCTCAGGCCGCTCCCGCAAGGGAGCCCAGTTCCTGGCTATGGAAGCTAGGCTCACTTTGGTCTCCATTTTGGCCTCTTTAGTTTCCCTAACGCACAAGTCGGCATAGAATGCTGTCACCTTCCCATCCCCACACCCATTCCAGGTGACCTGGGTCTCTCCCACAGCCTCAGGCAGACCTTCACTGTTCCTGAGCTACTTTCCCCCACTGCCAAGGCCTTAGTGACCCAGGGCTGGGGCGGGGGAGGGAGCCAGTCCGCCTGCCTCCCTCTTCCTGGCTAAACTCCAACCAACCGCAGTCTTACGTTGGCAGAACTGCTTCCAGACTGATTTTTGAGAACCATCACTTCCACATTCCTGATTCTCGCTCATTTCGTTTTGTTCTCTCTGGGTTTTACGGAACTCCAGATGCTACCCTGGAAATACCGTATTTTGGAGTCCGTGCTCTGAAAGCCCCTGCCTGTGCTGCTGTATCTTTCGACTCCTCCAGCACCAGGCATTTCGGACTTGCACTTAGCAATGCAACTTTTTCTAAATACGAGGATATTTACCTTTATTAAGAAATTATACTAAGCGACGGCGTCCTTGATTGTTTTATGTTCTCACGTTACTTTTGATTCTACTCTGATTTCGTGTGGTGGTGAACACAACGATCATTACAAACAAAAACTGTAATTTTGTTATCTTTGATTCAATGGAATTTCTTTACTTAAAATAAAGAGTAAAAAGTGTAGAGTGCTTGTGTGTGCTTTGTCTAGGGAGGGTTTTCTACATCTGGGCATGAAGACGTGGCTCTGGATAAAGTGCTTGCTGCACAGGCGTGAGGACCTGAGTTCGGATCCCCAGCACCCGAGCCAGATGTGGTAGTGCATTCCTGTGAATTATATGACTAGAAGGCAAAGATGGGGGGATCCCTGGGGCTTACTGTCTGATTGGTCTGCTTACCTGAATAGAACTCCAGGTTCACTGAGAGACCCTGTCTCAATAAAAATGAGTAGAGTGATGGGGAGGGGGCATACAATGCTGACCTTTAGCTTCCACAGGAGAGCACACATGCATGTGTGCGTGTGTGCGCGCATACACACACACACACACACACACACACACACACACACACACACAGTATTTCCTGTGTCTCCGTCAAAGCACGGGGCTTAGTGGCACAGTGAGGTTAAACGAATACCAGACAGGACCAGTTCACACAAACCCATCCTCTTCAAGAAAGCAAGCCAAGAATCTGAAAGAAGGAAGGAAGCAACGTTTTACGTTTACTTCCTAAACTGAGCCCTGTAGACAACCACAAGGTCAAGTTGGAGTGGTTGAGTAGTTGTAGTGGTTCCTTCTTTTTGTTTTCTTGAGACAAGGGTCTCGCGTAGCCTGGCCTGATCTCAGTCTCACTCTTTCTAAGACTGCCCCTAAATTCCTGAGCTTCCTGCCTCTGCTGGTTAACAGGTGTTGGTGGTGATGTTTTCTTCTCCTTTGGACCCATCTTAACCCCAACAAAGGGTCTTCCAAGGCCAAGCACTGACTCCGCCAGGAGAGCTGCAGCACCTCCTGGAGCCCTTTGCTTAACCTTCCTCCTTCCCCATTTATGCAAACCCTTTGACAAGATCGGCACTGTGAGTGGGGAAGGTTGGCTTTGCAAGACAGATTACCAATACCCAAGAATGCCCAATATCACCTTTTAGAATCCCCCCATGCCCTGTCACTTAACAAATCACTCTGTTTTGATCTAAGAGAATCAACTTGTAGAGAATACTGCCTAAGGGTTGAGGATTTAACTCAGTGATAGAGTACTTGCCTAGCAAGTACAAGGCCCTGGTCCAGCCTCCAGCACCAAAAGATAAAATGTGGGAAAGAAAATACTGCCGGGTTGGAGAGCTGGCTTAGCAGTTAAGAGTACTGATTGCTCTTCCAAAGGACCCGGGTTCAATGCCCAGCACCCGCATGGCTGCTACCATTTGTAACTCCAGTTCCAGGGGATCTGATATTCCTATTTAGCCTTAGTATGGGCCCTGCATACACAGACATACCTTCAAGCAAAATACACATACATGTAGAATAACAAAAAAAAATAAAATAAAATGGGAACGATTTCGGGTCTGGGATGTTAGGGGAGTGGGTGCCAACAACATGTCATTTGCAACACCTGGGCAACCTGCTGGCATTTGTGTTTTCTTACTCCAACAGAATGGATATATTTTTCATTATACCTTTCATAAACAGGTCTTCAGACATGGTTTTATTGAGAGGAGGCAGGAAGGACAGATGGTGGCATTCGTATATCCTTCAATATTAAGGGCACATTTGTATTCTCTAGTGTAGAAAGGAGTCCACACGTGCATGTTATTAGTAGCTTAACACAAACTGTTAATGGCTCGTTCTGCATCAACCACATACTCCCAGTCCAGGTGCCCCTGGGGAATTGCAAGGCTGGTAGCAGAAAGTGCTAACTAGCCGTGTGTTGCAAGGCGTTGCAACACCTAAGCCCCAGATAGCCAGAGAGTGAGGGAAGAAAACAAGGGATGATAAGAAGAGAGGTGCGGACAGAAACCTCAGGAACGTGGCTGGCCCCTTCCCGGAGGGGCGGAGCGGCTGCAGAAGCTGTCTTTGTTCCTCCTGCCTGGAGATGAACATAAGGAGGGCTTTTAAAGCCGCTAAATTTGCTGCCGTG